AGTAGCACACATCTGTAATCCTTGAGAAGAGATAGAATTGTAGAGAAGCTCAAGGGGCAGCTTAGGGAGAAAGAGAATACAGGAAGCAGAAACAATAGAGACCTTATCTCAGCCAGGAATGTGAGCACTGACTCCTGAAAGCTGTCCTCTAACCTCACGTGTGTGCTGTGACGTGTATTCACACCCTCACTCACACCACAACACACATACACACATAATAAAGGAAAATAAGGTAGAGAGTGATAGAGGATGACACTCAAAGTTGACTTCTGGCCTCCATATGTGCACATGCTCCTACATGATGCACAGATGATCGTGTATATACACACAGTAGAGGAGAGAAGAGAGATGGAGAGAGAGAGAGGAGAGAGAGAGACCCTGCCCCACAGGTCATCCTTTAAATGTGCCTATGTATACAGAAAGAAAAACAGGAACTGGGAATGTAGGGCTAGGTTGAATGTTTGCCTAACACGGCAGGGACGTGTCCTGGTGCTTACTACTTGCTAAGCATGGTGGAAACAAAGACCACAGACCCTTAGGTCTTTGGCTTCATAGGAAGCACATGATCTGGAGAGAAGGTAGGGAAAGCCCATCAAGTCAGCTCTTCTCTGACCTTGGCTGTGGTGAGCCTGGACTGCAGTCTTGACAGAGCCTGGGCCTATCCTCTTACAGATGCCCATGTCACTGAGAAACCTCTGGACCTTGTTGTGCAGTCATGTAGCTACAAGCAGCTTCGGAAAGGAGACAGTGAGGCCACCAAGCCCTCAACAGGGGCCTCTTGGAATTCACTGCGACAGCAGCAAAAGCTGAGCCCTTGGATGTCACCCTGCACCTTTGCTGCTGTGGGAAAACAGAATGTCCCCTCTGAGCTTGTGCGTTCCAAGCATGCCCTGGGGCAGGCCTGTTCTATCACCATCAAAGAAGCTTCTCAGCTAAAGCAGCAAATTCAATCCATTCAGCAGGCTACTGAAAAGCTCTTAGCCTAAATCTGAGATCTCTGCCTTGTTTTCTCCACTGCCTCCCCTCAGGTTGTATAATCTCATTGTGTTAGCATGTAATATTTTCAATGGTTTTCTATTATAAAATATTGTGGTACATTAAAAGAAAATAACAAAAAAAGACCATCAAGCCAGAAGTGGTGCTGCACACATGTAATCTTAGCACAGGAGATAGAGGTAGTCAGGAGTCCAAAATCATCATTAGCTACATAGCAAGTTTGAGGCCAGCCTGGACTACATGAGACTTTGTCTCACAAAACAAATAAAAACAAAACAAAACAAAAACAAAACCCACCACCTTGATATCACAGGTGCCATAACTGAGAGATGTCTGGAGAAGGGAGTCTACTCTCCCCCAGAGTAGCTCAGAAGCAACTTTCCAGAAGGCATAATATCTGAGCCAAATTAGAAGGGTATCCCAGGTGGAGGAACAAGCCTGGGCAAAGGCAGAAAGAGTGTTTGGGCAACTACAAGTGATTCAAATGGTTGTAGGGAGGGGGACGAAGTGGGCAGTTCCAAGAGATAAAGTTCCAGACAAGTGACACCTAGCTTCCAAGCACTACAATGGGAACTCATTTGGTTACTCATGAGAGGTAGGCTTGTAGGCACTCAAGGAAGAAGAAGGCTTCCCTGGGCTCTGCCATGGGGCTTGAAAACAATTCTAAGAGAACCAGGGGGCTCTCAGGGAGGGAGGTATGTTTGGACATGTGGAGTCTGAAATGTTCATTGGCATGTCAGTGGAAATTCCAATTAGATCTGTATTTAGGGAACTCTGGCCTGAATAGGCAATAAGGCAAGTGAGAGCGACTGATGGGCAGCCTTGAATAGAGGGTGAATGAGTCAGGTCTGTATTCTCTAGGCAGGGAGGAGATAAGGAAGGTCTTAAATTATTTTTTTGAGACAGGGTCGCATGTATCCCAGGTTGGCCTCGAACTTGCTATGTTCCTGAAGATGACTTTGAACTTTTGATCCTCCTGCCTCTTCCTTTCCAGTGCTGGGATGACAGGCCAGAACCACCATGCCTGGCTCTATTTTGTTTTTTCCAGTGTTGGGAATAAAATCCAGGGCCTGTCAGGCAAGGGCAAGTGCTCTACCACAAAACTACACTTTCCTTTTCATCCTTCTCATGTTTGTTTTTTTTGTGTGGTTTTGTTTTTGAACAGGGTCTCAGGTAGCTCAGGCTGGACTTGAATTTGATATATAGCCAAAAATGACCTTGAACTCATGATCTTCCTGCCTCTACCTCTCGAGTATAGGGATTACAAGCATGAGCCACCATGAACAGTTAATTCCCTTCTCATCTTTTATTTTTATTATTTTCATTTTATGTGTATGAGTGTATTGCCTGCATATATGTAAGTGCACCCGTGTCTTGCAATGCCAGCAGAGGTCAGAAGAAGGCATCGAATCCCCTAGCACTGGAGTTACAGATGGTTGTTAACCACCAAGTAGATGCTGGGAATTGAACTTGGGTCCTCCGCAAGAGCAGTCAGTGCTCTTAACCACTGAGCAGTCTCCCCAGTCCCCTTCTCATCTTTTAAATGAAGATGATGTATTTCTTTGATTCTGTTCATTTTTAGGTTTAACATCTAAGTCAGAATGTATCCTTAAGATGCATGAAGGCATGCCATGGTTTAATTGATGGGTATTTTTTTTTAGTACAAAGTAATGGTATTATAATTGATGATATGGTGAATTTAATGGGATCCAGTAGAATCCAGTAGTGATTACCTTAAAGGATTGTTGCAAAGCAAAAATAAACTCATAAAATGCTTGGGACTGTTGGGATGGTGGCACCTACCTGTAGTCCCAGCTACACAGCAAGACAGCAAAAAAAAAAAAAAAGAAAAAATAGGCTGGGCGTGGTGGTACACGCCTTTAATCCCAGCATTTGGGAGGCAGAGACAGATGGATCTCTGTGAGTTCGAGGCCTGCCTGGTCTACATAGTGAGTTCCAGGACAGCTGGGGCTATAGGGAGACCCTGTCTCAAAAAAAAAGGTAAAATAAAAAGAATAAGGAAATAAGCACAGAGTGGATAATAAGTTAAATAAGTTGTTGCAGAGAAAGGATTTAAAGTCAGGCAGTCCAACTCCAACACCCAAGTTCATTACAAGCAGTGAGCAGTAGTGTGGAACTTCAGGACTCATGAGGCCCTGGAGGGTGACATGGATTCAAGGGAAACACAGTCAGATGGAGCATATGGGAGACTGAGGTCCACTGTAAGAGGGTTCAGAATGGGCTGGGGACTTCTACAAGAGAGGTGGGAGGACAGGACAAATGTCCTTGAATAATGGTCTACTGATTACTGAGTGGGAAAACAAGAACTATTCCAAAACGTTGAGCCTGGAAAGGGAGGATGGGCATGGGAGGGAACAAGGCAGCTGTTGCCATTCAGAGGACAGCTGTGCTGCCCTGAGGTCAGGAAGCAAGGCTTCTCACCCCTTCTTAGGCAGTGATGCTGCCTGGTACCTGAGAGGGATTTAAAATTTCGTCTTGGGCAAGGTGTGTGATCTTGTATGACTTCTGGCTCTCATATTTTCATGTGACCAGAATGACCAGAATGTCTACAATGTGTAAAACAAAAAGAGAGCCAGATATTGGTGGTGCATACTTATAATCGCAACACTTGGAAGGTGGAGGCAGGAGGTTCAGGGGTTCAAGGTCATCATTGGCTTCATAGTATGTTGGTGGCCAGACTGAGCTACAAGAGACCCAGTTTCAAAGATAAAAACAAACCATTGTTGAGATGGCTGAACAGATTAAGGTGCTTGTTGCCAAGTCTGATGACCTGAGTTCAATCCCTGGGACCCACATGGTGGAAGAAGAGAACTGACTCCTGAAAGTTGTTCTCTGACCTTCACACATGTGTCATGGCACACATGGGCCTACACACAATAATTAGTTAATTACTTAATTTAAAAATTTTAAAGGAAAAAAATGGAAATTTTTCTCATGGAAGGTAGGAGGTTGTCTCTCTATCCCTAGCAGCACTAGGACAGTGATTCTAACCCTGGCTGTAAGTCACACTGAGGCCTCAAATGAGACCACTTCATTCAGACAGCAGGAGGGGGCTAAACATGAATAGTTCTAAAGTTGCCCAGGTGACTACAAATATGCAGCTATTTGAAAACACTTGCCTGGGAGCCTCCAGGTACCCAGTTTGAAAACTACGTGAAGGCTGGGATTCCCTCTGGGCCTACATGCTTAGACTGGGACTGATAGATGGTGACAGGTCTCTCTGAAACTTCCATCTCTTATCACCCAAACTCAAAACTCCTGATATACAGAGGCCCACCACCAGGGTTTCTCTTCCATAAACTGCTGACATCAGGACAGGATCATTCCTTGTTTGGGTTTTCCTGTGGATTGCAAGTATGTCTAGCAGCACCCTTGGTCTCCACCTACGAGATGCCAGCAGCACGTTCCCCCAACCAAAACAAAACCGGCTCCAGATATTGCTAAATGTGTATGTGAGTGGGATGTCACCCTTAGTTAGAATTCCTGAGAATCTCCACCCGCACCCCCAACCCCGACCTCCCGGGTTGAGAGAGAAGCCAGGCAGGGGTGGAAGGCATCACACAGCAAGTTTAGTTGGGCCCAGCAGGAGAGAAGGCCAGGGCTGCACAAGTTAACAAGATGGATAGAATGCGAGCCAGCTGGTTGACTGATGTGGTCTCACCCCAGAGGGAGGGAGTTTTCCAGAACTCTCATTCCCGGATTCTGTCCAGATCAGTCATAGGAGTGCCTGAAGCAGCTTCTAGGGGCAGACAGGCCTGGCTTTCCGGGAATGGGCAGAAGGGATGTGGGAGTGGTGGTGGTGTGTAGGGGATTCTTTCCTTCTGTAGATAATTTCCTGGCATCATCCATTGCCTTGTCTGATTGGTGGAGGGATGGAGGGGAGGAAATTTACAGCTGTGGGTGCCTGGGTTCCTAGAGGCCATCGGGCACTGGGATTGATGGCACGGAAGTCTGGGTTTTAGGGTTTGGAAGACTGGGCCTTTCGGGCTGGGAGTAGGAAATGAATGGTCCCCACCCCAAGGGATGTGGAAATTGTGTTCACAACTTCCTTAAAACTGGAGATGGGAAGGCTATCAACATCTTCACACCTCTTTTGCTTGCAGGTGGCGATACCTGAGTGAACAGAGAGGACGGAAGGCTGTGGGAGAATGAGGAAAGGGGATTGGGAGGAAGGAGGGAGGAAAGTACTAGTCTGGGCAGGAAGTAGAGAGCCGGTTCCCAACTTTCTCTGGTTATCCCGGTTATTCCCGCAACTCACTCCACCTGGAGGCTCAGAGCACCCAAAAGCAGCACAGCTCCAAAGACAGATGACAGCAGAATCCTAGCTTCGCGCAGATCATGACTGCCTGCAGGGAACCCAAGAGACTACGGATGATCCTGGACCACACCCGCCCACGCAACGGGAGCCCAAAGGCTCTGGGATCCAGGCCGGGAAGCGGGTAAGAACCTGGGAAGCAGCGCTTGGGGGGCCAACAGGACGCCTCCTTGCCCTCGCAGGTGGAGCAGTTATACAGGATGGTGCTGCCCCCTGCAGGAGACAGCGGGAGCAGCGCTGGAGGGCGAAGCCCAGGCCTCCACCCTTCCAGCTACCCAGCTTCCTCCCGCAGCTGCCCTACTCCCAGGAGGCTCCACGTTCTATTACCCCCCTGTCTTTTACTCACGACAGGCGGGAGCACAGAGGGCTGAAATGAAAGACAAGGAGAGTGGAGGTAGCCGACCTGTGTCATCACACACAACTTTTCAACAAATCCCAGGCACCTGGCCCCCCCCCATTCCTTTCCCCATCAATACCTTCCCTGGTGTACTGGGGAATCTTGGTCTTCTGAAGCCATTGCCAATATGAAGGAAGTGAGGAGATGGATCGTTTTATCTCTGGAGAAGCAGAGTACAGCCATACTGCCCTAGGCCCCAGCAATTCACATGCCCCCATGCTCCCTCCTGGATCAACTCCTGTCTTCAGGTCCCCCACCCGGTAACTCTCCATGGGGCTCAGGAGGACCCAAGGTTTCAGTTTCCCAATGACCTCACCCATGACCCTCAGGACTCGGTGAGTCTTCTCTGTGATTTTGTTCATGGTCACTTCATCTGTGGAGATGGGCAAGATCAAGCTATTCTCTCACCAGCCTTAGGAGGGTCTTCTACTTTTTCAGAATTCAGAGCTCTCCCAAAAGGAGAGGCTAATATATCCAGAGATGACTGAGAGGCAATGTCTGATAGGGCACAGCTAGGGATTCACATGCCACTCCTTAGGATTGAGGGGTGACTGTTGCTGGACCAAATGTGAATGTCCGGTCTTACCTAAGGCAAACGCTGAGAAATCTTGGGAAGCCCATTCCTTCCACTGCTCCTCCATCTGGCTATTGAGACGAGCCAGGCGGTCTGACAAGGCATGGGTTGGAAGGCGACAAAAGATACAGGCCTGAGCAACTGCCAGGAAAACCCCACTTAGTGCCAGCACCCACATGAGGCCTGCTGGGGGATGGGATGTGAGTTGGGCCCACTTGGGCCAGGGAGGCCTCAGAATGCTCTGTAATTCCAATTCCAACCCTTTGTCTGGGAAATTCTAGACTACTCCAGAACAATGCTGTTGTTCCATTCTTGGCTGAGGAAAAGCTGCCCCCCCCTTCAAGAACTGGAGGCCAGAAGATATCTCTAGTAGGAGGACAGAGAAATCAAAGTTTCTGTTGCAAGGAGGACAGTGGCCCAAGTCCATGGTTCCAAAAGCAATTTTATTTTTCTTCTTGTAAGTCACCAGTGATAAATGAATGCGTCTAGTGAAGAAGTTGTGTGTGTGTATCCCATCCTCTCAGGAACCCAGAAATCCCATCCCTTCCCACATCCTCCCCTACTCTCCCAAACTCTTCATCTCTCTCTGTCCAGGACAGCCTTGGGCCTTACTGGGCTATCTCCTAGCAACAGGCCCATAGTTGCCTCAGCAAACAAGAGCTCCCCATAGGTCTCAGAGGCCCAGCTAAGCCCAGTGACTTTTACCTCTCACAGGAAGATCCTAGTGACTCAAACTCAAACAGGCTCCTCCTGCCTACCTGATGTTGGCATAAACACACACACAAACACATACACACCCTATGATTAAACTAAATCTGAATCTACTCACACACATACCACAGGTATACCTGAGCCTCAACAGTTGCTGAGCAACCTCTAATACACCTGGACATGCAGAGATCACAGAAGGACCATCATGTAGACACAGCAATCAGTAACACAGATGGGAACCAGGATGCCAGGGACCCATGCATCATTGAGATACACTGGCTGGCATGCATACACATGAAGGCAGCCCAAGACATAAAAAACTATCGCCCTCTTTCCCATATCCACCTCACTTATATATGGTCTCTTCTAAAACACTTATATGGTATCCTCTAAAACACATGGAAGTCCAGAGGGGTACTCCAGCCTCCTTGCTGATGGGGATTCTCCTAGCTCCCGTATGTCAACCTAGGATGAAGTATGCTCTTTTGGTCTGTCTACCTCAGGAGGTGGCTTGGGACATGGCTAAAAAACTCCCCATTCCCATCCCAGAGTGGCATGGCCTCTTAATGGTCAGAGCAGGATAAGGTACCTAGCTCCAGGAGGGGAAGCCAAGTCTAAGAGACGGACCACACTAGGTAATTCAAATTATCTCCTTCCCCCTAGTGCTGAAACCTCCAGAATTCTGCTAAGTCTAGCCCTGGCAAAGAGGGGTTCCTTATTTTCCAGACCCCTGAACATTGAGCTTTACCTAAGGTTGGATCTCAGCCCCAGGCAAAAACAGACCAGAAAAATCCTGGGTGCTTTTCCAGGGTAAGCCCCAGCCCACTTGTGGACCACTTGTGAATCCTGAGAGTGGGAGGAGTCAGGTTTGGGAATTACAGCCTACATGCAGGCTCCAGTCAGGTACAGTGGGATCCCTGACTTTCATAGCTCGCTCACCAGGGCTAGAAAGAAGCTTTAAAGAGTCTTTGACCCCTTGTCTGACTCAGTCCTTCATCTCCCCATAGTCAAGCTAAGAATAGCATCATCAGTGCCGGACAAAGCGAAGAGATCTGGAGTTCAGCAGGTCCTCAGGGTCGGGGAAGACAGAGTCCAGACGGAAGCCATGTTCCAGAGCTACCCGTAGCACTTCCTCCAGGAAGGTGGGTGTGCCCACCACCTCCCTTCGCATTTCTGGCCCCCCAGTCCACAGCGGTTGCAGCCCCAGTCTCTCATACTCAACTTCGGGGAGTTCCTGGGGACGGGGGGCCCACTCTAGACGAAAATGTGGGCCCCCCTCTGCCCTGTCCGCACTGGCCACACCAAATCGGGCCCTCAATGCCCCCAGACACTCAGAGTCTGTGCAGAAGAGGTTGGCTCGGAAAGTGTCCACCTGGACAGAGCTCAGTTCATAGTGGTGTGGGCCTCTGCGAGCAGAGAAGTGCACCAGGCGGGGGCTGACATCTACATCAGCATGGAGCAGGGCAGCTGTGGGTGCAGGGGTACCCCGAGAGGCCTCCAGCTCCCGCAAGGCATCCAGGAGGGGCCGGATCTGGTAGAAGTCAGCTTCTGCTCTGAGAAGTGCAGTCTCTCCATAGCCACAGGGCAGGTCCAGTCGGCCAAGCCTTAGGAAATTGAGGATGTGCCGGAAGGCCTTGCCATCCCTGTCGATGAAGTAATGGCCATCCCCTTGGGAGTTGAGACTGGCTGGCATAGGGGTGTCAGCCCTAAACATAGCCCCCAGCATGGAGTCTGGGAAGCGAGTCAGGGTCTCCAAAGTAGTGGAATATAGTGTTCCCCCCACATTCAGGGTCACGGGGCCCCCAAAGGAAGGGGGCGAAGAGGATACAGGAGGAGGGGAAATTTTGGGAACTATAGGACACAGGCAAGGAGAAGGAAAAGCAGAATTTCCTGGCTGTGAGCAGAATTGGATTGGTGACGTTCAGACTCGCTGGGTTGGAGGCATAGGTTGGAGAACAAAACAGCAAAGTTTGTAGCTCACCCCAGCTACCTTGGTGTGGTTGGGGGCACTGGACACAGAAATCCCCGAAAGGACGAGATAACAGATGAAAAGCGCAAAAGGCAGCCAAAGAGGGTAAGGGAGCTTTGGGTCCAGACGGTTCTGATTCTGCTGATTCTGCGTTGTCAGCAATCCCCTTCTGTATTCTTCAGACTGTGGGTTTCCGGAATCCAACCAGCAGGTGACGGTGGCGAGCACAGGGCAGACAGAAGGGCTCAGTTTCCGAGTTTCTCGGCAAATAGCTGCCGCCGCGGGGGAATCCACCCAGGGTTCCGAGGACCCGTCAGAGGCCCAGCCAGGCTTGGGGCGCGGGTCCCAGAAGATGGAGGTGCAATTGTTGGCAGCCGAAGGTGAGCCGCCCGGTACGGCTCAGGGCCGACGGTGCACGCTCTGCCGGAGCTGGGAGTGTCCCAGGACTCCGATGGGAACTGCCGAGTCTCGGGACTCGGGCGTTACCGCCTTGGTCAGTTTTTCGCAGCAGCTGCTGAGGCGCTCTCCACCCCCAGGAAGTGGCCTAAGGGCAGCGGTCAGGGGCCCTTTAAAAGACAGTCCCGCCCCTTGGCGCCCCGCCCTCCGCCCCCGCAGGCTGGCGGGGCTTTGGTGGAGGTGGGAGCCGAGACTCGTGGACGCGAGAGACGGGGCGGACCAGCTGGACTGGCGGACGCGAGCGGGGGTGGGATGACTCATGCAGGTCGCTGCGGATGTGGCCGCGACGGTCCCGCGGTCCTCCAGATGTGCACAACCTCATTCGTACCACCCGGTGGTACTGGAGTACCCTGCGATCCCCGGAGAAGGGATAGTTTTTCTCCGGGTGGCTCCCGGTGGGGAATTCCGAGGGGGCGGGTGCTGAACCACCAAATTCCGGGGATGCCTCTGGGCCACCCTGGCAAGCCCTCTCCATCCCGGCGTGGAGCCAGTTCCGCACGCGGTCAGCTTCCCTCCGGCCCTCAGGGTCTGGTCACGTCTCTGAGCTGGAGAGCCCCGCCCGCCAAGCCAAGCTGCACACGGTCCTTGGCATCAGCTGTACCAGCTGCGCTGCGCAGGTCGCCTCCTCCTCCTCTGGAGCGCACAAACTCCTGACCGCTCCTGGTACACGAGGAACCACAGCGCCCCAAGCCGGGCCGGGCCCCAAGTTGGCGCCCAATAAAAGAACTACAAAAGGGAAAAGCAAGCAACAGAGGTTTTAATGGCGAACCCGCCACAGCAGGGAGGGGAGGGACCTGGAATTAAAGAGTATGGAGGTCGTGACTGCGACGGCTCAGCTTCTCTGGGTCGTCTGACGCCATGAGGGAGAAGTCACGGAAGATGTCAAGATACGTCTCGTCTCCTGAGAAGGATAGAGGAAAAGCTGGGGGACCGGACAGCAGAGCTCGACCACCCAAGAGCATCAGGGCAGTAGGGGTGGGTCAGCGCTTGAAGTGGGGGTGCACCGTGTGCACAGTGCCGGCGTGTGTTCTTTGCTTTGTTCCAAGGGCCTGGCATATCCCATGCGCCCAAAACGTGTTTGTTAAATAAACAGTGGCATTAATGCAGTTGGACACGAAGGGGACAAGTAAGCAAGAGCCAGAATCCCGGTATTTGGCTAGGTGGATACTTTACCTGCCTGGCCCTGGGCCGCTTCAACCTCCCTCATCTTTGCCAATCGTAGCCTGAGTGGGATGGGAATTAAGGAATAAATGATATCTCACTCTCCCTCCCCAATTCCCCGTCCTTTGAGCTGGATTGCATTCATTCATCTGTCTCACCAGTGACTAATGCATCAAAAACAAAAAAAAAACTTTTCAACAATGTTGGTGCCTGAGCAATGGTTCTCTGGATGAACCCCCATTCTCTCACCCTACTGGTCGAAGTTCCTACTCCACACGCCAATGCACATCGGCCTCAGCCCTCCACAATCTTGTTTGGCGTTAGCCCCGCCCCAGTGATGCACAGGTCCAAGCACTAGCTGGACCTGCTGGCATTCTCACAGAGTTACGATGTCAGCGTTGGCTGTTTCCATGGCAATGGTCAGAGGGTCCCTCCCTTCTGTGTCTCGAGCCCCCAGATCTGCGCCCCGTTTCAGGAACAGGCAAGCAAGCCTGGAGACGATAGAAAAGTTCAGCCGCAGCTTCCCGCTTCCCAGTTTCAGCTCCTCCAGGAAACTTCCTCCCCATGGCCACCATTCCCACTGTTCCTACCCTGTGTGGCCAAGAATGGTGGCATGGTGGAGTGGGCCCCGGCCAGCACTGTCTGCTTGGTTCACATTGGCCCCATTCTGGAGGAGAAATTCACAGGCCAGGAGAGAATTCTGCATGGAGAAGTCAAGAAGAAGGTGGTGGCATCTTTAGAGGTGGATTTCAAGATGTTTGGGGGTGGGTCTATAAGAGGGTAAGAGTGTGGAGTTTGGTATTCAGGGTACAACTAGGTATCAGGCTTGGCTGTGGCTGTTTACCCATGTTCACATTAAATCCCTAGGGCACCCCGATGCAGTATGCTGTTCCTACTATACATATGAGGAGAACAAGGCACAGAGAGATTGATAACCTGTTCAAAGTCTCCTGTAAGTGGTGGATTCAAACTCAGATTTACCACCTCCAAATCACACTTTTAGCACCCAGTCTATATTGTTTAACTTTCCTTATGGGGCTGGAGACCCCAGGGGAGTCAGGAGTAAGATAGGAGTCAGGAGGAGCTTTAGGACAATGTGGTTCTCACAGCAGCTGTGGCCTGGATCAGAGGTGTGGCATTCTCCTGACCCCCATTGACCCAGTTGACATCAGCTCCATGGGCCAGGGCATCTGCCATGGTGGGAAGGGATGGAGGATGTCCAGCAGCTCGAAACAGCAGAGCCCCAGGGTGCAGGCTTCCCAGGTCACCAGAGGGGGACTCTGTTAGGGAGATTTAGTTCTGTTAAGGGGAATCAGTGCTAGATCTGGGAAGAAAAACTTCAGCACAGTGCCTAGATACTGCAATGGAGTAAGTCACGTCTAAATTGTGGTGAGGCCTTTGTGACTCAGGTCTGTGGCGAGAAATGGAATGATGATGTGTGTTATGTGTCAGTATGTATACGTGCAAGGTCCTGGGTGTGGGAAAAGATATCACTTACTTCAGCCTGTCCAACCACCCTGACTGGCTGGATATCCCAGGTGAGCTGACTTCCTCAGCCTCAGCCCTTATCTTCCTCTGCTCTGGTCAAATTCACCCTTCCCAGACTTTTAGAGATCCCAGACTTATGCCTTCTCCTGCTTCTTATTCTGTGGATATCCATTTTGTAGCTCTCTCTGACACTCTCCACCTCACACTTCTTCCCATACTTAATGCCACGCCCCCTGAAACTGTAGGCTGGTCCTTCCACGGCTCTCCAGGGCATGGTCTGGACCTCAGTCTGCCTCCCTATAGAGCATGGCCCAGTGCTGAACATACAACAGACAACCAAAAGGACTCTATACCTGACTTGGATCTGACAATCCCTGGTTGTGGCCTGATGGAAGGCTTTGGGGGCACAGGAGGATGCCCTCTTGGGGGCCCCCTGCCACCTCTTCGCCCTCGAATTTCAGGAAGCTTGGTTAGGAACTTTTTCTCCACATATTTGGCATGAATCCAGGCTTCCTTTTCCTGCCTGGGGATTGAGAGAAGAGGACAGTCTTCCCTCTTCCCATCTCAAGTCCCTCCTCTTTCTTCCCACATAGAGGAGAGCTCTGGGCACCTCCACCCAACCTCACCGTGAGCAGCTGGGCCCTGGCTTCTTTACTGCCATGGCCTCCACCCGGGCCTCGTAGATCTGGTTGATGACAACATTCCCCAGCTCGCACATAAGCTTCAGGAGGCCCAATGAGGTGGGGAGAAAGAGGGTGAGTATCTCCTGACCCCCATTGACCCAGTTGACATCAGCTCAACTGGGACTCCTCAGCCCTTTTGTCTTCACAATACCCCAATTTACCTTCACTAGTTCTGGCTCCCAGGAGTCAAGGGTCAGAGAGCGGACTTTGGAGAAATGAACACCAAGGCTCCTAGAGGGCCAGAGGGAGAGTCATGTCCTGTGTGGGCAGTGGCCTGGGGAGGCTGTTGCTGCTGAAAAGACTCAAAGGCCTGGCCTGTGTGGGGGCTATGCAGAAGAGCTGAGCCAGGAGGCAGGAGAGAAGGGGCCATATATCCTTGACCTGGTTCTGGCAGGATTCTGCCTGCTCACCATTCTTTTATCTTCCCTGTGTTTCTTTCTTTCTTTCTTTTTTTTTTTTTTTTTTTTTTTTTTGTTTCATCGTCTCCTTGTAGTCCCAGCTGCCTGGAACTCGCTATGTAGACCAAGTTGGCCTTGAACTCATAGAGATCGGCCTGACTCTCCTCCAAAGTGCTGTGATTAAAGGTGTGCACCACCATGCCCAGCTTCTTCCCTGTGTTTCATTTTAAGCCCTCCTATTCTTTATCTCCCTTACTGCTCTTTTGGCACTTTAGCCTGGACTATTATTTGCATGCTATGTCTCTTCTCTCTTTACACCAAAGACTGGGGGACCTCACAACCTCTTCCCTCTCTGGGCTCTGTTAGGTGCATCACCTTTGGCAACCCTAACCTGTGCTTCCTCTATCCAAGTCAATAAATTCTTCTAGGAGGAATTCCCACAAGTCTGGCCATACCTATTTGCTCCTTGTGCAGCAGGCCTAGTTACCAGTGACAGAGCCATAATGTAAGAAGAAGCCAGGGCAGGGTGGATGAGAGGGGGGCCTGTGAGGTGGACTATTGGCCATATTGCAGCTAGAAGCAGGACTTATGCTTTGGGTCTTAGGGAATGACCTGTGAATGCCGGAACACTGAATGCAGAGGGTGACACCAAGGTTGATACTGGCCCATTCTGGGGCTGGCTCCCTGCAGTCGCAGCACTGGGCATTTCCATCTACACTTTGTACCTGGGCTGCTACGTGCCCAACTCCCCCAGGTTCCCTTCCTCTGGCTGTCCCACCACAGCCCAGAGTGGCAGCAGAGCCCAGAGCATGTCCTGAGACCTGTGGGAGAGAGGGGAAGAAAGGATGACAAAAGAGCCCAGAGTAAGGGATGTTCCATCTCCTAGGGCAGTTGTGGCCCTGCACCCACACCTTAAGGTACCTGGCCTGCCCCCCGGGTACTGTCATCAAGGCGAGCCTGGCTGAAGGCTGAGGCGATGCTGCTCTGAACAGCACTGATCCACAGCTGCAGGAGGCGTTCAGAATCAGCCTGGAGGAGGCAGGACCTGGGTGGGAGTTGAGAGTGACAGAGTAGAGGTAGGGTCTGAGGTGCAGGGGAGCCATGTGGCAGAATGGACAGTCTGACTAACATTCAAGTGGTGCTCAGCTGGTCCCATTTATACAGAATTTTAAAAATATTTATTAATTTGTACTGCAGTTTGCACCCAGGGTCTTGTGCATGTTACATTCCCAGTCCTTTTTTGTTTTTGTTTAAGACGGGGTCTTGATAAGTTTCCCAGACTGACTTCGAACTTTCTATGTAGCCCAGGCAGACCTTGAGCTTTTTAAAACATTACATTTTATTTGTGTGTGTGTGTGTGTGTGTGTGTGTGTGTGCGTGTGTGTACGTTCATGTGTGCTCATGCATATGTTTGCAGAGTCAGTTCTCTTCTTCCACCATGTGGGTCCTGGCAAATAAACTCAGGTCATCAGGCTTGTTAGCAAGTACCTTCATTACTGAGCCATCTCACTGATCTGTTTATTCTTTTTAAAATATTTTATTTATTATTTTTATGTGTATGAGTACATTGCCTGCATGTATGTAAGTGCACCCATGTTGTGCAATGCCCACTGAGGACAGAAGAGGGCACTGGATCTCCTGGAACTAGAGTTACTGATGGTTGTTAGCCTCCATGTGGGTGCTGGTAACTAAACCCAGGTCCTCTACAAGAGCAGCTAGTGCTCTTAACCACTGAGCAATCTCTCTAGTCTCTGGTTTGTTTATTCTTGAGACAGGGACAAGCTATATATCTCAGGCTTACCTCAAACTTAAGACTCTCCTGCCTTGGCCTCCCAAGTGCTGGCATTACAAATGTGCCCCACCAAACCCAAACCTAACTCTCAGCCATATTGAAATTCAGGTGGTCTGTGACCTAGGACCTGTTGATTTAAGATTTTTCATCATTACAGTAATTCCAACATGTAGGTTTTTTGTTGTTGTTGTTGTTTTTGTATTTTTGAGTCAGGGTCTCCCTGTACCCTCAAAAGGCATGGAACTCTGGCTGACCTGAATCTCTCAGAGATCTATCTTCTTCTGCCTCCCAACTGCTAGAATTAAAGGCATCATCATGCCTAGCCTCAAGGTGTACTTATACAGCCATTTTGACTTTTCTATTTCAGTAGACTATTCATACTCAACACTTCATTTAAAAAGTGGCTTTGGGGGCTGGAGAGATGGCTCAGCGGTTAAGAACACTGTTCTTGGGCAGAAGACCCGGGTTCGAATCCCAGCACCCACATGGACAACTAACAACTGTCTGTAACTCCAGTTCCAGGGGATCCGACAGCCTCTTCTGTTCTCCGAGGGCATTGCATGACACGGGTGTACTTACCTACATGCAGGCAATACACCCATACACATAAAATAAAAAATAATTTGTACTGGGTTTTTAAAAAAAATATTTTATTATTTTTATTTTATGTGTATGAGTGTATTGCCTGCATGAAGTAAGCGCAACTATGTCATGCAGTGCCCACAGAGGACAGAAGAGGCTGTCGAATCCCCTGGAACTGGAGTTACAGACAGTTGTTAGCTGCCATGTGGGTGCTGGGATTCGAACCCGGGTCTTCTGTAAGAACAGTCAGTGTTATTAACCGCTGAGCCATCTCTCCAGCCCCTGTACTGGATTATTTTACCTAAATGTAGGCTAAGTGTTTCTAGCATGTAGGCTGAAGCTAAATTAAACTATGTGTGTAGTGGGTTTTTCAGTGTCTTTTCAACTCATGATAAATTTACTAGGAATGTGCCAGGCATGGTGGCACACACCTTTGGTTCTAGCACTCAGGAGGCAGGTGGATCTCTGTGAGTCCAGCCTGATCTACATAGCAAGTTCCAGGCCAGTTGGGGCTACAGGGAGACCCTGTCTCAAAAAGACCAAAAAAAAAATTGTTTTTACTAGAAATGTAATCCCCCATCTAAGCAGAAGAGCACCTGCACTTCTGTACCAATTGGTAAAAATCTTCCTAAAAATCACCTACCACCCTGTTCTCTTAACCTAGACTCCATGCCTCAACCAAGTCACCAAAGGGCCAAGGACTACAACTGTACAGGGAGCCTCATTTTGGTGGCCCTGCCTTTCCAGTTTGTAAACATTCAGACACAGTAGAGCATTGCCTCAGGAGACTACTCACTTGCTGGTAGATACCACCTCGAAGCAGAACCGCCTTTCCGAGTCTGGGCAGAGCTTCACTGTACAGAGACGAAGGTCGTCCACCACCACAGTCACAGGGTCCTGACAGAAGGTGATGAGGGGACCAAGACTCAGCCATAATAAACAAGGAGTGAGTCTATCTGGAGCCCAAGCAACAGTACCTACCTACCTTATATTTCTTCTGGTAAACCAGTTGGTTGTTCTGAATGGTGAACCAGCGTCTGAAGGAGGTAGAGGTAGTTACGGACATGAGCAGCCTTGGGATGAGCCTCAGGAAGGGACAGAAGAGAGGCTGTTCCCTTTCCCCATAAACATCTTGCTGAGAGGAGAGAGATGTGGGTTCACAGTCCCATAAGACATTCTAGATAAGGGAGAGTAGTTGTGCAGACTGGGACATCTACTGGGTGCTCTTCAAGGGTTGAACAGCCCAGATTGGATAGATTTATGAAGACTACTTTCCAGTAGATGGCAGATAACATTTTTTTTTGAGACAGGGTCTCATATACCTCAGGCTGATATTGATTTGAACTCCTGACTCTCCACCTTGAGTGCTAGGATTACAGGCATATGCCACCACACCCAGTTTCTTTTTTTAAAATAAGTTTATTGCTGCAATTCTTTTTTTCTCTCAAGTGGCCAGTATTTAAGGAGACAGCAGTATTAGATAGCTGCAAAGGTGGCATATGTCAACTTGCATGGACTAAAACTTTCTAAGATAATGGTGAACATTATTTCTGGGTGTCCTGAGTGCATCTGAATCACTACTTCTGCAATCTTTTATTGAGATAAGGTTTTGTTTTATTTTTTAATATTTTATTTATTTATTTATTTACTTTTTGGTCTTTTTGAGACAGGGTCTCCCTATAGCCCAAGCTGTCCTGGAACTCACTATGTAGACCAGGCTGGCCTTGAACTCACAGAGATCCGCCTGCCTCTGCCTCCCAAGTGCTGGGACTACAGGCATGCACTACCCTGCCCGGCTCTTATTTTTATTTTATGTATATGAGTGTAGTGCCTGCATGTATGTGAGCGCACCCGTTTGGTGCAATGCCACCGCAGAGGCCGTGGAGGTCAGAAGAAGGCTTTGGATCCCCCTGGAACTGGCGTTAAGGACAGTTTGTAGCCGCCATGTAGGTGCTGGGACTTGAACCCAGGTCTTCTGCAAGAGCAGTTAGTGCTCTTAACTGCGGAGCCATCTCTCCAGCCCGTTTGTTTTTTTCCTTTGAGACAGGGTCTCCCTATAGCCCAAGCTGTCCTGGAACTCACTATGTAGACCAGGCTGGCCTTGAACTCACAGAGATCCGCCTGCCTCTGCCTCCCAAGTGCTGGGACTACAGGCATGCACTACCCTGCCCGGCTCTTATTTTTATTTTATGTATATGAGTGTAGTGCCTGCATGTATGTGAGCGCACCCGTTTGGTGCAATGCCACCGCAGAGGCCGTGGAGGTCAGAAGAAGGCTTTGGATCCCCCTGGAACTGGCGTTAAGGACAGTTTGTAGCCGCCATGTAGGTGCTGGGACTTGAACCCAGGTCTTCTGCAAGAGCAGTTAGTGCTCTTAACTGCGGAGCCATCTCTCCAGCCCGTTTGTTTTTTTCCTTTGAGACAGGGTCTCCCTATAGCCCAAGCTGTCCTGGAACTCACTATGTAGACCAGGCTGGCCTTGAACTCACAGAGATCCGCCTGCCTCTGCCTCCCAAGTGCTGGGACTACAGGCATGCACTACCATGCCCGGCTATTATTTTTATTTTATGTATATGAGTGTATTGCCTGCATGTATGTGAGTGCACCCGTGTGGTGCAATGCCACCGCAGAGGCCGTGGAGGTCAGAAGAAGGCTTTGGATCCCCCTGGAACTGGAGTTAAGGACAGTTTGTAGCCGCCATGTAGGTGCTGGGACTTGAACCCAGGTCCTCTGCAAGAGCAGTTAGTGCTCTTAACTGCGGAGCCATCTCTCCAGCCCGTTTGTTTTTTTCCTTTGAGACAGGGTCTCACTGTGTAAACCATCTTGGCCTCTGCCTCCCAAGTGCTGGGATTAAAGGCCTCTACCAACATGTCCTGCTGGGTCTTGCTATGTAACCCAGGCTGGCCTAGAATTCCCTCTGGAATTCTAGCCTTAAACTTGCAATCCTCCCACCTCAGGCTCCTAAGTGATGGCATTATACCAGGCTTATTGCTATGATTTTTGGCAAATGGAAATATCTTGCGGGGGAAGGGTCTCCATTTTCTAATTTGCACCAGGGTCCCACATGGGTTGGTGGTGGGTCTGAAAGGGGAAGTGGTCATGTCAAGAGATGTCACCATTCTGTTCTAACTCTGTAGGGTTCCTCATTTTTTCCTCCATGGAGTTTTCAAAGTCCTGCAAACATCTTCTAAGTCTTATTTAGTCCCCCTTTAGTTCCTATTTCTTCTTCACTCACTCTGTCCAGGTCCATATCCTCCTGGTTTTCAAGCTTCCCAGGGGACTCAAGGCCAACTGCTGACTCTTCCTTCTGCCTATTTTTCCCCAGATGTCCTTGAAGTCTTGACTCAAAATCTACTTTCTCATCAAGGCAAGATGGTGCATACCTGTAATACCAGCACTTGGGAGGTGGAGGCAGAAAGATATGCAGTTCAAGGTCATCCTTGGCTACATAGTATGTTTGAAATCAGCCTGGGATAAATGAGACACTGTCACACAAAAAAGGACTGGGCCCCAAGAGAAAGTAACAATTTCGTTGTTTGTTTTCAGACAGAACTCCTGACCTATTTAGAATTATAAGCCCTAGGCTGTTGATGTAGCTCAGTGGACGATCACTTGCCTAGCATTGTTGAGGCCTTGAATTCAATCCCCAGCTTGGCAAAAAATAAAAATGAAATTGTACCCTCTATGCAAATCACCATGTCCCTTGCTGTGTTTTTTTCTTCCATAACATTATTACCCTCTTCTTTCTTTTTCCTTTCCTTTTTTTTTCTTTTTCTCTTCTTTTTTTGTGGGGTGGGGGGGCAGGATTTTGCTTTGGAGCTCTAGTTGACCTGGTATGTCAAACTCAAAGTCTTCCTGCCTCGGCCTCCTTAGTGGTGGGATTACAGGTGTGTCACCACGCCTGGCTCTCAGCATGGTCACTTTCTAACCTAGCATATAGGTATTGTGTTTGTCTATCTTTGCTGACTGAATGCACGGACTACAAAGCAGAGACTCCTGTGTATTTCCTTGACTCAATGACCACCAATTCAAGAATATTCAATTGAGTGGGTTTGGCTGATTGGATTATCTTCTCACCTGCTCCAAGTCTTAAATGCATTGCTGGCCCGTTTGAAAAGATGTCCTTCCATTACCAAGCCACTAGTCCCTTCCTTTAGGCTTGGCTCTGGCTCCTCACCACCCAACTCCTGAGGGCACAAGAGGGTCAAAGATAGATGGAGCGGGCAGAGACCAAGGCCATAGGCCCATCTTCCTTCTGCCCACAGTGCCAGTCCTCACCTTCTGTTTTAGCAGCACATGCCTCTGTTCCATGTCTCTCTTCTCTCGGGCTGAATTCAAGACCAACTTGTGCAACTGGGCAAGGGAGGGGCATCTTAGATGTCTAAGTTTCCCTCGGCTAGGCCAGGGGTGTCATCTTAGAGTACCCTAGCCTCCCTTCACTATCTGCCTGTTTCCTGAGGTCTTTACCTGGGCACCCAACTCCTTGCGATACTGGGCCAGTTGGTTCAGCTCTTCATGACCCTGCTGGAAATAGGCAGCCTGGGCCTCTACCAAACGTAGCACCTGGGGAAAGGTAGGCAGGGGCTGAACTGAGGAAGGATCCCTCTCTCTCTTCCCTCTTGCTCTCTGTCAGCAAGTTCCTTCCGGATTTTGCCCTTGCAGCTGCTGAAACTCACAAACTCCATGATGTCAAATTTCCTCTTATCCTCAATCACATTGATCTGAAAGCCCAAAAAGCCTGAGTCAGTTTTGAAATCACAGTACCCCCTCCCACTGTGCCCCAGGGACTCTCCAGCTTTGAGTCAACACCTGAAGCTTTTGTATTCTGGAGGACAGGTGGGGATAGGCACCTACCTGCAGGGCATAATCCAATGCCCGACCCTGGTACCCAGCTCGAGCACTCTTTAGAGCAATTCCAGCCTCTTCTGCCTCCTGGACACGGCGCCTGGGGACCTCTGCATTGTGGGTAAGAGCTGCCTCCAGGCTCTCAGCCCCTCTCCAGAAATCCCTTCGAGCCTCTCGGAAACCCCGGAGACCTCTAGGGGTGTGGGAGACAATATAGAATCACAAATATGTTCCCCTGCCACAGTAGAGAAGTCTCAGGATAAGGTCCCCCCATATCCTTCCAGTTAGCCTGTATGTAGTGGGAAAGCCTAGGAGATCCTTGGAATGAGAGGACAGAAGTTGTGCCAACTCCCCCCACCCAAACCTCATGGATCCTTCACTTGGAGAGGTCCCCTTTGGTAATGGGAAGAGAGCTCGAGGGATAGTTTCTGGCAATAAAGCCTCCTTCCCTCCCATCTCACTCCTTGACCAGGGTCTGGATTTGCTGCTGCAGTGTGTGTTGAGTGGCATCCAAAAGTTCCTGGGGGAAGCAGAAGTTAGCAAGTAGGAGTCAGGGCCAAAGATAACCCTGCCCCATCTACCACCCCATGTCTCATATTCCCCACTCACCGCGTGACTGTCCAGCTTTTGGTTCAGGCTCACAGTGAATTTTTCCAGACACTCCTGAGCAAGAAAAGCCACAGAGAGAGTCCCAGGCATGGGACAGCATGGTCCTCCCAACTGTAGGCCCTACCTGCTGCACCTGTCTTGGAAGTTTTGCTCTGGCCTGGTCCCTGTGGACCCAGGCCAGCTCTCCTCTTCCATATTATCTCTATCTCAATTGTTCCACCCCCCAACAAATACAACCCAGGTTCAGACTCTTCACATACCGCCATCATGGGCTCTGGTGGACCCAGGTGAGCCAGATCACAAATGCCAACAATGAAGGCACGGCTGGCAGCAAGGTAATGATGCCCACTCTCCAGGAGGCTGGTACCTAGCTTGAGGAGCTAGGGAGGAGAGCAAAAGGGAATGGTACCATTGACCACCAGGTGATGCCCTCCATCTCCCCCCTTGCCTCACCTACCTTCCCTCCATCCCAGTGCAACTTGCTCCCATTTCAAACTCACACCTCAAATATTATCGCTGCTTCTTAGTTCCCTTGTCCAAATTCCTGCACATTCTTCCCAGTTTGTTTGCAAAGCCACCATCAGTTCTACTTCCCAAATGTCTTTCCCTAGTCAATCCTACCTGCTCTTCCTTGCCCTGCCCTACCTGCCTGAATGAAGGGCCCCTCCCCAGCTCCATTCTTCTGTACTGTCTAGTTACTAACGTGCATTCTCAACATAGCTAGGTTCAATTCTATTTTTTTTTTTCTTTTTTGGTCTTTTTGAGACAGGGTCTCCCTGCAGCCCCAGCTGGCCTGGAACTCACTATGTAGACCAGGCTGGCCTTGAACTCACAGAGATCTATCTGCCTGCCTCTGCCTCCCATATGTTGGGACTACAGGTGTGTGCCACCACGCCCAGCTTCAATTCTATTTTCAATTTATGTCTATTTGTGTGCCTGCCTGAGTTCAGGTGTACCATGTGCATGAGCCCGAAAAGGCCAGAAGAGGGCATCAGATCTCCTGGAACTGGAGATAATAACCTGTTAGCAGGAACCATGTAGGTGCTGGGAACTGGACCACAGTCCTCTGCAAGAGCAGTAACTGGCTTGGAACTTGCTAGGTAGACTAGGCTGGCCTTGATCTCACAGAGATCCACCTGCCTCTACCTCTACCTGGGATTAAAGCCTTGTGCCAACATATCTACCTGTTCTAGTCTGCTGTCTGGGGCTCTCATTCTATGCTCATGAACCATTCCAGCATAAATATTAGTCATCTAGGCCACAGGGTCAGTAACAAGAAAAATGTTAGGGTGCTCAGTTGGTCATCCTTTCACACCCCCCCATGATCAAATAAAGAGTTGTAATAAGGCAGGAGATAACTGACTGACCTGGGGCGAGCTAGAACCCCTAACCTTGTTATCTGCAGAGCTATGGTTATATCACCCTGAGGGTGACACACTAGACTCTGGCTTGAGTTGTCATATTTTGGGTAGAACAAGTTGTCTGTATAGTCCTTTAGCTTGGTCTAAGTAGCAAGAGACCACAGTGAGGCTTTATGAGGAGATGCAAAGCACCAGGACATGGGCTTCATGTGTGTTCAGCAATTTTTGTTAAACTGAACACTTTCTGGGGCTTGTGGAGGTTTCTGAGAAATATATCTTGAACTGAAAGCAGCTAGCAAGATCAGTAATGGCCAGGAAATGGACCAAGATCAAATCTTATCAGTCTGTGACAGGGGACAAAAGTGGTTACAACTCACTGTTGGATCAGGGGACTGTCTGTTTTTCCTTATTTATACCCACACCCTCTGCCTTTCAATTTATGTCTATCAGTTCAGTGAAAACGGAACTAATCCTGAGCATGGTGGTATATGCCTTTAATACCAGCACTTGGGAGGCAGAAGCATGCAGAACTCTGTGAGTTCAAGAACAGCTTGGTCTATATAATGAGATCCTGTCTCAAAAAATAAATGATGAAGCTGGAGAGATGGCTCAGTGGTTAAGAGCACTGATTGCTTTTGCAGAGGACTTGGGTTCGATTCCCAGCACCCTCATGGTGGCTAAAAACCATCCTTAACTCCAGTTCCAGGGGACCTCACATACATGCAGGCAACACACTCATACACATAAAATAAAAATAATAAAATATTTTTAAAAACTAAAAAAAAAGGCTGGGCGTAGTGGTACATGCCTGTAATCCCAGCACTTGGGAGGCAGAGGCAGGTGGATCTTTGTGAGTTTGAGGCCAGCCTGGTTTACACAGTCAGTTCCAGGGACAGCTGGGGCTATAGGGAGATCCTGCCTCAAAAAGACCAAAAAAAAAAAAAAGTGAACAGACTAGTACATCTATATGAGAATAGCACTCAGCAATAAATAAGGAACTATCAATGCGAACAACAACTTGGATAGACTTCAAGAGCATTATTTCTTTTTTTTAAATATTTTAATTTTTTTTGCCGGGCGTGGTGGCACATGCCTTTAATCCCAGCACTCAGGAGGCAGAGGCAGGCGGATTTCTGTAAGTTCAAGGCCAGCCTGGTCTACAAATCGAGTTCCAGGCCAGCTGGGGCTACAGGGAAACCCTGTTTCAAAAAGACCAAAAAAATTTTTTTTAATTTTTTAATCTTTATTTTACGTGTATGTGTGTATTGCCTGGGTGTAGGTAAGTGTACCCGTGTCGTGCAACACCCACAGAGGACAGAAGAGGCTGTTGGATCCCCTGGAACTGGAGTTACGGACAATTGTTAGCTGCCATGTGGGTGCTGGGATTCGAACTTGGGTCCTCTGCAAGAACAACCAGTGTTCTTAACTGCTGAGCCATTTCTCCAGTCCCTCTTTAAAAAAAAAAAAAAATTATTATTATTTTTTGGTCTTTTTGAGACAGGGTCTCCCTGTAGCCCCAGCTGTCCTGGAACTCACTATGTAGACCAGGCTGGCCTTGAACTCACAGAGATCTGCCTGCCTCTACCTCCCGAGTGCTGGGGACTACAGGCATGTGCCACCACACCCAGCTATTACTTTTATTTTATGTGTATGTATGAGTGTATTGCCTGCATGTATGTGAGTGCACCTGTGTCATGCAATACCACAGAGGTCAGAAGAGGGTATTGGATTCCCCTGGAACTGGAGTTAAGGACAGTTTGTAGCTGCCATGTGGGGCGTTGGGACTCGAACCTGGGTTCTCTACAAGAGCAGTCAGTGCTCTTAACTGCTGAGCCGTCTCTCCAGCCCCACCTTTTTTTTTTTTTAAGTCAGTTTCAGGCTCAGCAGGAAAAGGTGCTTGCCATACAAGCATGACAACCAGGGTACGACTCTGGAACCCATGGTAGAGGGAGAGAGCCAACTCCCAAAAGTTGTCCACTGACCTCTACATGCACCCCACAGCTTCATGCCTGCATATATACACAAGTAATAAAAAAAAAAAATACTTATTTTAAGACAGTTTCCCTGTAGCCCCAACTGGCCTGGAGCTTGCTATATTGACCAGGCTGGCCTAGATCTCACAGAGATCTATCTGCCTCTGAAACCTGAGTGCTGGGATTAAAGGTATGTGTCACCAAGCCTGGCAAATAAAAAAAAAAAAATTTAAGCAATCAATCTCTTCCTCTCCCTCTCCTTTCTTTTCCTCCCTTCGCACAGCCTCCAGAGTGCTGGGCCTAAAGGTATGCACCACACCACCTGGCTACAAACCAATTTCAAAAGATCACATACTGGGACAGTAAGATGGTTTAGTAGGGGAAAGGCACTTGCTGTCAAGCCTGACAACCTGAGTTTGATCCCCAGGAAACACATGGCAGATGGAGAGAACTCTCACAAGTTGTTCTCTCACCTCACACATGTGTCATGGCACATGTGCTCACACACATATATACATACATATGCTCTATGATAACATTTATATAATGTTCTAATTTTTTTTTAGCCCATGTTGGCTGACCTTAAACTTGCTATATAGCTGAATATGAACTTGAACTTTTTTTTAAAAAAATTCATAGCCAGGCATGGTAGTCCATGCCTTTAATCCCAGCACTCAGAGGCAGAGGCAGGTGGATCTCTTTGAGTTCAAGGCCAGCCTGGTAAATTCTAGGCCAGGGAGACACTGTCTCAGCCTCTTGAGTTTTTATTTATTTATTTTTTGATAGAATCTCCTTAGCCCCAGCCAGCCTGGAACTCACTATGTAGACCAGACTGGTCTTGATCTCAAAGAGATTGCCTCTGTCTCCTGAGTGCTGAGATTAAAAGCATGCATCACCACACCTGGCTTTAATCCAGCCTCTTTTTTTT